TTGTAACAGAAGGACATTTTTAATACAGGCAGCTCATATTTAAGTCAAACGCTTATGCGAATAAGTAGCCACCACCTGAAGGAATAGACCACAGAAATACCAATGGTTTTGATTTGGTTTCTCAGCAGCATGAGGTCTGTCACTTTTCAACAGAGTGACGAAGCTGTCGATGTTGAATTGAGAATTCAGCGAAAGTATATATTTGCAGATTTTTTGCCATTTTAATTATTAATCTTTAGTATCGAAGCAATATCCGCCATTGCTGGCCTCTAGTTTGGATGGCAAAAAATGAGGGTAGGGGTCCGCCGTGAGGTCCCCGTAAAACTTTGCCACTTGCCCCTCAAGATATTGCCATTATCGAACATTATACCGGCTCTGTCATCACCCTCACTGCCGAGGGCCGCGCAGGCTGTTTGGGGAACTGAACTGTTTGGGAAATCTGCTTCATGCCTTCTGGCAGTTGTAGGCGCAACAGCAGGGCTGTAGTTGCTGAAGATCAGCAAAAAGAAAACGAAGATCGAAACAGCTGTACTTTCTCAGCGAAAAGGCATATACCATTACAGCACGTCAAAAGGCTCTACTGGAACGATACTGCCATTGAGAGCTTGCAATCTGAAATTGGAACATATCTTCACTCAGAGAGAAAGAGCAGGGTCTAATTAATTAGGCTGTAGGGCGGCAACTTCATGTAGTTGGTCTTTTATCGACGAATAATCATTGTTCTGGAATTCTGAGCCTCATTAGGTGGAAGATATTTTACTCAGGTGTCGACATCAGGACGCGCTCAGGCCGGTGTTGGTGTTCTGGTAAAACCCAGCCTAGCAGAGAATCACTGAATGAAAGCCTGTCAGTGGAAGAGTGGTCATCCTCAGACTAAAGCTTCGATCTTCTAATAATTTAATGCGCCCCACTTGGAGGGAGAATATGCGTTCTTTTTTGAGAAAGTGGGAGGTGCTTTTGGGAAGTGCTGATTACGGAGTTCCTCATTTTAATGGATGATTTCAATCCGCTTGACGAAGCAGACAGTAAAAAGTGGAAAGGCGTGATTGGAAAGAACAGTCCCAGTGACCTCAACGATAACGGCTTAAGGTTGTTGAGATTTTGAGCAAACAATGGAATGTCAGTATATCTTATGGAGCAAAGTATTTGGACAGAAGTATTCCACTGATTTTATAATCGTATCGCTTGACCAGCGAGGATTTCTAATGGATGTTCTGTATTTAGACACGTGCACAGCTGTCATCGCCTTGTTGACTGTCCATTGTAAACTATACAGTACGTGTGAAGACCTGGCGATAGAAACAACCAAAGAATCAAATGGGAAACGTAATCTTTTGCAGGTTTATAGTACCCCTGTCCAAAGAGAGAGACGTTATGGATTGTACGAACTCTCGCTGTATTAGTTTATTAAACCTCTTGGGAAAAGTCTACACAAGAATTGTGCCACTGAATAACTGAATCTAAGTTAAGAGAAGAGCAGCGTCGCTTCCGGTCATGGAGAAGCGCCTCTAACTATACCTCTTACGCCATTTCGTTCAGAAATCGTTGGAGCTCACTCATGCGGTTTACATGCCGGATCCCCCACAACAGCCTATGGACGAGCCTGCAAACCTTGTGGTTCGATGGCCAGTGTAGAGCCATCCAGTCGTTATACGCTGACAGCAGCTGCTGCTGAATAAGAGCAAATGGCGTTAAGTCGAGACATTCCTTTGTTGCACTGGTCTCCGCAGTGGCTGCTTTCTGTGCCATCTATTGTTTGTGTTGTATATGAACAGGCGAGGCAGAGGCAGCCAGGACAACACCAGCATAGGATATGTCTAGACTAGAAGGTTGCTGTTTGCAGACGACCTTGCTTTGCGTCATCTGGATTTGTTGGCATCTCGAGCGATATCTACTAAGGGTAACACCCGAGAGCTACATGCGTGTGAATGTGGTACATACGAAAACCTTGGTGCTTTCTCGTTGTGCTTATTGCCTTCTCAAGACAAAGTGAAACTATGGAGCCTTGTTTACAAGTGATTTAAAGTGGGAGGGGTTGAGAAAGAGATTGACAGGCGAACTGGAATAGCTAGCGGTGTCCGGAGTGAACTTTCCTGTACCACTGTCGCTAAAGCAGAGCTCAGTCTCAAGATTAGGCTGTCTGTGTTGACGTTGATCTTCATCCCGATGCTCAGCTACGGTCATCAGTGGTGGACCACGACAGAATAACTTCGATCCCAGATACAAGCAGCTGAAATAGGCGTTCAGAGACGAATCAGGGTTCACGTGTCTCAGCATAGTCCGGAATACAGATGTTCGAGAGAGCACTGGTGTACAGGCAGTGCTTCTTCAGACTGCAGAGTCAGAGCTGGGATGTTTTGGGTGCTTTTGCGAGTGGTTTCAGATAGGAATGGGAAATAGCTACTTTTTTCCAAACTAATATGGGGAAGCATGCCAAAGGACTTTGCTCCAGAGTTATCTTCTGCCGAGCCTGAAACGCGGACACAGGATCAGGAATATTGGAGAAACAGTCTTACCCGTCGCAGACCAAAGGGAAGAGCGGTGTTCAGGTCACTGAATGACTCTAAGCGTCATTAACCGAGCTTCACGAAGGCTGTCCTGCAAAATTTCTCTCTAGGTCATTGATGGTGCTTTGACCTCCTGGATGCTGATATCGATTCTTCTCTCTGCTGCTGCTCTAGTGCTGACGAAAATGCGTGTTGGGAACCAAAAATCTGTTACAATGCCTTGCAATGAATCGTGATAGCTTATCTGGGTTGTTCTATTCCTACGTTCTTCGTATAGTGTCTCATTTGGGTCGGGAGCTCAGTGACGTACTAGTGATCATTTGAACGATATGAATTCGTTAGGCGTGTAAATCATAAGAAGGAATTCGATCTGTCACAGATTTAACCGTATATTGAGGATCATTACTCAATAGGCAGCTGTTCATGCTGGTGAAGAAACAAATGTTCTATTCAACCATCCTCTGGCGATGGATGTTGGTCTGCTACTAAAATGAAGAAAGAAAACCAGTGGTCATGGAAAAGCAGTAGCGTGACAGGTGCAAGGTCTGCCACAGGGATCACCATGGGAGCGAATACATTCGACAACGGATTGGATTACCAGA